GGCCACGGCTCGTCCGTGGCCGGGGCTGGTCCCGTCCTGGGAGGGGAAGAGGCAGCGGGGGAGGGCAGAGCGGGGCCCTGCTGCCACCCCGTCCCCGCTGGGTAGCTCTCCCCGGGGCAGAAGCAAACAGCTGGGAAAGGAAACAGCCACCGGCAGTTCCAGGGAGCAAGGAGGAGAAACCCTAGTGCGAGGGTGAGATCAGCTTTGTGAATGTCCCATGTAGCAAGAAAGGGGATGTTTCCTTCTAAGCACCAGCCATTTCCCTCCTCCGTAGCCCTGCTGCGTTTTCAGGGAGGAAAAGCATGGAGATGCTGGGGGTTGAACCCAGGGCCTCTTACATGCGAAGCAAACGCTCTCCCGCTGAGCTACATCCCCGTGCCTGGATGGTGCTTCGGCAGGGCACACTGGCCCTGGCACCACAGCGGCAGCTCCCTTGGCAGGCACCATGGGTGGCACCATCCAAGCTTGCTAAAACCAGTGTTGATTGCAAGAGAAACCCTATGGACACACCATGGGGCTCTCTTTGCAGGCAGCTGGGGGATAGCAGGGCTGATCCTTCTCCACCAGGTCTGCAGAAAGCAGCAGGGATGCAGTCCCTAAAGGAGGGGCTGTCCGAAAAGGAGGGATTACCCAGGAGGTGAACCCAGGACCTCTTGCACCCTAAGCAAGAATCATACCCCTAGACCAACAAGCCAGTGTGCTGCATCCCTTTTGCTCCCCCATCATAACCCCCACATTTTGAGGTTAGTGGTGGAGCTGAGGCTGTGGTTTTCCTCCAGCACACCCACAGCCTGCAGGTGCTGGGAAGCATCCCAGCCCAGCCATGCCCACAGGCAGCCCCAGGGCTTTTTTGTGGGGCCTGGGGGGCTCTGCCAGCCCCAAAGCTGGCAGGGAGGTGGGTCTGGAGAGGCAAAAGCTGAAGATTCTTGGGGTTGAACCCAGGGCCACTTACACGCGAAACAAGCGCTCTCCTGCTGAGTTACACCTCTTCTGCACCAGCATCACCTCGCTCCTGGCTCTTCGAGGTCCATCCTGCCCACGGGGGCATGCCCACAGCACTGACCCCACTGTACCAGGCACCATTGCCCTCATCATCCCCTGGTTATGTCACAGCCCCATGTGCTGCCAGGAAGGCGGGTGCCCAAAAGGAGGGCTCGTGTGGGAGTTGAACCCCGGACCTGTCGCACCTGAAGCGAGAATCATACCCCTAGACCAACGAGCTGGGGCAAGACCACTGCTCCTGCCCTCAACCCCTGTGCTGCATACACCCCGGCCATGTGCACAGGGTCATGGCTCCTGGGTGCCCCCATCCCTCATCACTGCCCCTCAGAAACCCATTTCACATGGTTCCAGGTCTAACAATCTCCCTCTCCCCTGCCCCACAGGTGCCGGTGTGGCTTTGGTACAAGGGACAGGAGCTGCAAGTGGGAAATACCCCCAGCCATTCCCTTTTCCCAGGCCCCAGGAGCTGCCATCCGTGGTGGTCAGCAGGGTGCCGGTGCTAGGCTTCCCATGGGTGCTGTGGGGATTAGGACTGGGAGGACAGCTCTGGGGCAGACCAGGGGGATTTTTTTTCTGGATGCAGTCCCCGAGGGTAGGGCTGCCTGTAGCTGTGCTGGGGTGGGAAGCTGAGCTGCTGCAGGAGCCCCAGCTGGTGGGAACCTCTCTCCACTCAGGACAGCTGCAGGGGGAACAGGACGAAGAGCTGATTTTCAGACAGCCCACCTGCAGCAAGCCTCCAATGCTAATTATATTGCACTGCAGGCTGTGCCAGAGCAAGGGCACATCCAAATCCTGTGAGCTGACCTGAGGGAACTGGGAGGAAGGATCGGCCACAGGCAGCACACGCAAGTCTCACTCCTCTCCCCTGCCCTGCAAATCTCAGAGGAGTGGGGAGGAGTGGGCAGGGGGAGCGCTGCACCCCAGTGATTCCCAGGTCACATAACCCGCAACAGCTGCCTGGCTCCTTCAGCCCCAGGCACCCAGTGCTACCACCAGCCACCTTACACAGCAATAACCAGATCACCCTTCTCCTCTTTGGGAAACATGCAGACACCTAATTCTCAGCAAATGTGAATTAACAGCCTTGGAATATTTAATTGAACAATTCTTGAGTCTGAAACACAAATCTACAAGTATTTCACTCCCAGGACCTTGTAAACCATTGGGATTTGGGCTCCGCTTTCATTGCACTCATCCCTGTCTCTTCCCAAGGGCTGCTCTCCCCAGGGGGAGAAGCTCAGAGGAGAAGGGGGGGTGTAGGACAGCCGGGAGCAGTGTCTGGTGATCATTTGGGCTCAGGGTGAGGCACAGTGCTGGCGGAGCCAACAGGACTGCAGGCTCACTGGGGTGCAAGCCTTGTGAGCCCAGCTCCCACGGGTAGCACCAGGAGGGCCAGACCGGGATGCAAGTGCCTTTTGATTTGCGTGCTTCTTCCCCCGTGACTCACACGTGGGTGGCCTGTTATTTTCTTGCTTTATGGGATTTCCAGCCCTTGGGAAGAACTGGAGCCCTTGCTGGAACCATCACCTGTCTGGCTCCCCAGGCTGGCACAGGGCCTTTTTGTGGCAGGGAGGACGCCCAGAGAAACCACAGTGAGCCCCTGCCCTGCAGTCTGTCCATGGGCACCTGGGGTGGGATGTCCTCTCTGCGGTGTCCTGTCTTCCCTCTTATCCCACCACATGCAACTAATGGGAAATCGTGTTGCAATGCTTTGGTGGGCGAGGAAGATTTCTATTAGCAAACAAGTCCCATTTCAGTCTGCCATGCCTGCAGGCTCCCAGCTCCAGGGGCCCTGTCTCCAGCTGGCTGGCTCCAGGATGCAAGTCCCCAGGGGCTCTGGCCAGGAGTCCTTGCCCCAGTGAGGAGGATGAGGGACGCTGCCTGTTGAGGCCAGCAAGGACTCCTGGTGTTGCCCTCAGCTTGGCACGCAGGTGCTGGGGTGGGATATACTTTTTGCAGCCCAGCAAAGGCGCTGGTGGTGGATATGTCTCTTCATCCTATCCCACTGTTCTGAGTCACCAAGATTTTTGTCTTCTCATCTGCATGTGCAGAGAAATCACAGATAGATGTGCTGGGATTGCATAGACCCAGCAATCATCCAGCCACCCCTAATCCCTCCATCCCTATCACCAGCCCCATGCCGCCCTGGGTCTTCCACTCCTGATGGTCCCACTTGCTTGCTACTCACACCAGTCTTCCCTTTTCCATGACAACTCTCTATGCATCCCTGTGTCCTGGCAGGGCTGGCCACAGCTCCCCACTTCTCTGCCCCATTTTGCCCCCTCCCAATGACAAAGTTGCCCTGGCACAGTCTGCGTACATGCTTTTACTGAAAGCTCTTTTCTGGGTAGGACAGGGACAGTCCTGGAGATGCTGGAGAATACCTGGAAGTGTGAGTGGGGGCAGAAAGGACTTGGGAGCATCTCTGGGAAGCGGGGTAGGTGTTGGGGGGCCGGCAGTAGCACTTGTGCAATGATGGAGCCCATGGGAATGAGGGGAAGGTGCTCCCTAAGGGTACCAGGGCTAAGGCATCTCACGGTGGATGTGGGGTCCTGGGAGAGGGGACCCCAGGACCAGGCTCTGCTGTGGAGTTGGGTCATGGGATCAGGTGCCCTGCAGTGGGTTCCCAGCACTCGTTACAGGCAGCAGAAGAGACACAGATCATTCAGGGCCGTGTCATCCCTCTTCAGCCCCCGTGCAGGATCCTGCCGTGTCTGGATGCTGCACACCGCCCTGGGGCACTGGGGGCTCCAGTTGCCCCACTGGCCCCAGGCGGACCCTGGCCCCTCCAGGACATGTCCATCAGAGCAGGCGAGGCGGGCACTGGTGGCAGCCACTTCATCACTCAGGAGCCCGCGCTGGGGTGCCTGGACCCGCAGTGCGAAGCCCACCAGGCGCCCTCGGTGGGGGCACCAGTGGGCCTCCGACCAGCGGCCCCACCTAGACGAGGGAGAGTGAAGATGATCATGCCAAGGCTGGAGGGTGCGGGAGGAGGAGAGAGAGTGCAAGCCCTTCGGAGCTGGGGGCAGCTGCGGAGGAGGCTCTCCAGCCATGGGGCTGGGGGCTCACCTAGGACTTGGCTGTGTAGTCGCCACTGGAATCCCCGCCATGGGAGCAGTGCAGCCGAATTCCGTTGAGCGCCGTGTCATCCTCCATCACCCCCTGGGGCGCCTCTACCTGTAAGGGAGCGGAGGTGGGGAGTTAACTTCCCACAGGAGCAAGGTCCCCAGACCGGCCGTGGGCACCAGCGTGGAGGCTGCACCTTGAAGCTGACGCCGCTGGCGTAGGAGCCCTTGGGGCACGTCTCCGGCCAGGCCCAGTCTCCCCAGGGTCCCCCGTTGGACACAGTGATGACCGAGGCATCCCTCGCACCCAGGTCCCACTCCTGCCCCTGCCCTGCAGTGCCTGCAAGCCCTGCGAGCAGCAGCAGGACCTGTCTCCCCAGCATGGCTGCCCTGCCTGCAGCCAGCTGGCCGGGCTCTTACACCCAGCAGGGCTGGCAGGAGTGACCTGGCAGCATCTCAGTTACCTTCCCAGGGTGCCCGGGCCTGTCAGACGGGCAGGATTAGCTGCAGGAGAGGGCTACTCCTCCTGCCGGGTGGGGTGCAGGGAGCTGATCCTTCAGCTCTTTGTTTGGGTCCCTCTCCAGGCAGCTTGCCCGGAGCCACCAGGCATCCCAGTGCCAACCAGGGCTTGGGGCGGTGTGGGGCTGGGGCACCTTCCTCTCCCGCTCCGGGCTCCCACCATGTGCAAGATGGCATTTCCACTCTGCCTTTTGCTCGCTCTTTCTTTTTTGCAGTTAAAACAAACAGGCACATTAACTGACACCTCTGATGGAAATCCATTCCCATCTCCTCTGCCCTCACTCCCCAAGGTATCCATTTCATCATGGCTTCAGGTTTCATTTGTCCCAGTTTGCTTTCCGGTTGCACCCTCCTCTTTTGGAAGGTTATCTTCTTACTGCTGAACAGCCACTTTCTCCAGTAATAGCTCTTCCAGGGATTTCTGAGTGGGTTTTTATCCATGAGTCGTGGATAAGAGGCTCCCAGCCCCCTCCACGCCAGGACCTGGCTACCCTTTTAGATGCTTCTTCAATCCCTTCTGTCCCGGCTCCTCGGTTTCCTCCTGCTGTCCCCTTTCCAAAGCCAAACGCTACTGCGGGGGGACCGGTGGCCTCCTCCCCTCGGGAGGACGCGGTTGCCGCGCCGGGCCAAGCCCTTGCTACCGGACCCCCCGGGGCCCAGACACGAGCGTGCGCCAGCCCCGGCCGCGGGAGGCGCCAGACCGCCCCCGCCCCCGCGCGGCAGCAAAAGCCCCGACGAGGGTGGGATTCGAACCCACGCGCGCAGAGCACAATGGATTAGCAGTCCATCGCCTTCACCACTCGGCCACCTCGTCCTGCCCCGCACCGCGCCCGGCCCCGC